TCCCATCAAGTGACTGCCCCAAAAGGGCCCGAATAGAAGCTGTGAATAATCGATGGTGTGATTTGGGGATTATTTTTTTTTTTTTCCCCTTCCCACTGCTTCCCAGTAAATCATTCCCAAATAGATATTTTCCACTATCTGGCCAGCTCTGTAGATGAATGTCAGATCCATCAGATGAATTCTTCGGGATTTTTGGTGTTTCTTCTTGCTGACTAACAGTGGATAAATGACACTGGGTGTTCCCTCTGACACCCCAGTCACCAACCCCAAGGATGGTGATTGAGCGTTGCGTGACATTTGGGTTTTCTTTGAGCCCAAGTTCCATGGGAGAAATCCAGCCTTCCAGCCTGGACTTTGTATTTGTAGAGGCAAATGAATAGGAGGCCTTCTGGAGGTGGAAAAATGCCAGAACGGGGGAGGCAGAGGCTCAAAAAAAAAATCTGATGGACAATAGAAAGCGGTTTAATGTGTTGTGTATCATGGGAGCAGAGGAGGGCGTGGGAGATGTTTGAACCTTTGGGCTGGATGGAGGCGATGGTCCAACATCCCTGGGGGCTCTGGAGGTGTTTGAAAGGTGGGTGGGGAGGGCAGCAGCTGAGTGGGACACGTTCCTGCATCCCTGTGCAGAAGTTACTGCTGGAAGTCATGAGGTGACATTAAGAGTCCAAGGTGAGTGGTACCAAACCCATCCCTGGGGCACAGATGGCACACAGGAAGATCAGCAAGGGGAAGGGGTCCTAGAAATGCCAGCTGGGAGACACTCAGGCACCAAGCAGGGAGCTGGAAGGATATTTTGCAGCCCTGGGGATCAATCAGATTTTAGGAGAATTTACCTGGGATTTATCCAAATTCTCCATCACATGGATTCAAGTGTTCAGTTAACAGCTCCCTCTGGCTAAAACAGATGTTTTAGGATGCCTTTCAGAAGGACACAAAAGTGCAAGGACACTTCTGACCATGGGGACAACCGACCAGAGAATGATTTGAGGCACGTTGCTTTCTTTGTGGGCCAAGGCAAGAGTCACACTTGGTGGAGGTCACTCCTGGCAGCTGGAAACATCAGAAGGACATAGAAGAAGGATAAAAGATAAACGACAGCACAGGGATTAATGTCAACAGGAAACTAAGGCCTGACACAGGCCGAGCCAGGAGCTCGGAGTGTTATGAAGAGCTGATTGCTGAGGAAAAAAAAAAACTCCCAGCCTGAGGCTTCAAGATCTTGATTGAGCCTAATTCCTGGAAAGAAGAGAGAGAAGAGCCCTGCAGCGGGGTTTGCCCTGCAGCACAGGCCTGGCAGGCTGTGGTGCACCTCGGGTGATGGCAGAAACCTGCAGCATGGAAATGAGGTGAGATTTTGTAGCTGCAGGGTGATGAAACCCTGGCTTGACTTACCCAGGGAGGAGGCTCCTCACTCTGGCTTGGTGTCTGTTGCCTGAGTGTAAATAGCTCTTGCAGGCTAGGGTTTATTCCAGAGGCTGCCAGGGGAAAGCTGTGACTGCCCCATCCCTGGAAGTGTCCAAGGCCAGGTTGGACGGGGCTTGGAGCAACCTGGTCACAGTGACAATGACAATCTAGGTGAACTAAACCTGCCCATCTCGAGTGCCTCCTCGAGATCCTCATCGCAAATCTCATCCATCCTTTCATTACAGGGATACTGGATTAATTCCCTGCACGGGCCAGGTGATGGCACGTGCACAGCAGGCAGCTGTGATGGTGTCACTGCTCTCTGCACGTGCACTCAGAAAAAGAAAAGGGCCACGTCCCGTGGACATTTCCAAAATGACAAAATCAGGGAAGAAGGAATGTAGCCAGGAATAAACAAGGAAGCAGAGCTGCCCAGCACGTCTCCTTTGCCAGAAGCGTGACCTTGTCTCTGCTGGGAAATGGTCATTTGTGAAAAGGGAACCTTGGCTACGTCCAGCAGATGCTTAGAGGTAGAAGGGGATGAGGACACAGAGGGGTTGGAATGAGGTGGTCTTTAGGTCCCTTCCAACCCCAACCATTCTGTGATTCCATGATTTTGTGACGCAAAGAGCTTGCAAACCCCCCCCCCCGTGAGGAGGAGCGGTACCAGTGGCAGCAGGTTCAGAGGTGCTGGAGACACAAAATGTGCTGGAGGGAACAACAAGCAATTGCATTCCTCCTTTGGGGGCTTTTCTTCTGAAACTTCATCATTGAGGAAGAACTGCAGACAGGGAATTTCAAGGCCCAGGTGAAGTGGAAAGGGTGACAGGGGCCAAGCTTGGGCTGCCCACACCAGGTCAGAGCACACTGCGCTCGGACAATTTGAGGGAGCAGAGCTTTTGTTTGCACAGAGATTTGGGGGGATTTCTTTGCCCTCTGGAGAGCTGGGAGCTCGGTCCTGCTGCTTTTCCAGCTCCAATCACCCAGTGAAGGCACAAGGCAGAGTTCCATGGCTGGTCACCCTGGGGAGAGCCAGTCCGACCGGCTTGCCTCCAGCCCTGGAGCAGCCAAGCAGGAACAGCAGCTGCTTTCGACAACTGCCCGTAAGAGTTCAAAAACCAAAATAAAGGTCACAAAAATAAAGGAGGCAAAACTAACTGAGCAGACCCACTACCGGGAAGTATCTCCTCAGCTTCACCCCTAATTTCCTGAGGATGCCCACTGAGTCGTGTCATGGGGAAAAGTATCCTGGTTTCCACGAAGCAGGGGCAGAAGGATGGCCGGGCTGGAAGCAGCTCTGCGGGCAGGTCTGGTAGGTATCATCCCTGTCCCGCTGGAAGCGGCCGCGCGTTTCGGTACCTTATTTGGCTATTGCTGCCCGTGAGGAGCGAGGGCTCGCTGCGAACAGTGGGAAGAGCCCTGGGGATGCTTGGCTGCCTCTGACGCAAGAGCCTCGCCGGTGCATTTTTGACCTTGCTTTGCCTCTCGGCCGGGCGCTGCAGATCGCGGTGCCTCTCCCTCCGCACACCCACCGGCCGAGGGAAGGAGCCCCGGGGCTAGGAAGGGCAGGGAAGGCGGCTTTCCCGTCCACAGGGAAAGAGAAAAAAGGGAAACGAGCGGGTTTTAAGGGCAGAAGGAACCGGCAGCCTCCGCTCACGGCTGCAATCAGCTGTACTAAAAGGTTACTCGCTCCGCGGAGCCGTATCCAATTGCATCAGCTGGGAACCTCGTCCAACACGCCGGGCTGAGAGTAACCCTTTCTATTTATTGCCCTATTGTTTGACGCTGGAGGAACACGGAGATACCATCTGGGAAAGCTTTGTTGTTACAGACCGGCTTTCCCCTGCGCTCCAAAGTCACCCTCTAAGTTACGCTCCAGCTCCCAAGTTTTGGGGGATGGAGTGGGGCTTATGCTGACAGGGATTGAGGCCCCAGAAGGATCTGAGGGGGGAGGTCATTTGCTGCCCGCCCTCCCGCTGTTCAGGGCAGCAGTCACCCAATCTCCTGGCAGCATCAGCCTCGTTAACCCAAATCCTTGGATAAAACCTGTTTTAGTCTGCCTGGAGCAAGCTCAGGAAAGGTTTTATTAGTGCATATGATAAAGGAGAGAAACGGCCCTTTAGAAATATCTCCACTGTAACAGCAAAGTGAAAAGGGGGAAATCTTTACCCATTGAGGGGTTTTGTTGCCTCCATGGCGCCAAAGCAACCTGGTCTAGTGGAAGGTGTCCCTGCCCATGGCAGAGGGTTGGAATTGAAAGGTCTTCCAGGTCCCTTCCAACCCATAATTCTACGGTCCTAAAGCTCCCACTTGCCATTCGCCACGTGGGATGCGGGAATGCTGGTCATGGAGCTTTGGGCTGGCAGAGCCATCCCCGAGGCTGCCGGGGAGGGCACGGCTTTGCTGGGATGTGGATTCCCATCGCCCGGCAGAGTGCGGGACTGCATCCACCTCAAACCGCAGCCCCTTCCGCGCGTCGGTTTTTCAGGAAGCCCGGTTGCCTGGCGGGATGTGTGTATCACTGGGTGGAGAGCTACAGGAAGCGGATAATATTTTTTTTTTTCCTCCATTTGTGCCGCTTCAGACTCTTTTATTTAGAGACAGTTCCCATTTCCCAGATTCGCAGATGATGAGGATGGAGGGAGCCAGCCCATCGCCCGGCCTTGGCGCGGGCACGGACAACTACGCCAAGGTAGGGCTTTGCTGAACGGGAAGGATTTTGCCCACGAATTTGGGGCCAGTGTTAAAAGACACCCTACAGGGTGCAGAGTGGGCACGGTTGCCATGCGTGTTTAGGACACCAAGGTTCCAGCGGCCCTAATGGATGCTCTCCTGGCCGGCTCCCGAGTTCCCCAGTTCTGCCTGCCCTGGGATCACTGGCCATGAGCTGAGCCACGACAAGCTAAGGCAGGATGAGCCCAGCTGGGATGAGCTGAGCTGAGCCGAGCTAGGCTGGGCAGAGCCGCTCTTGCTGGGCCAGGATAAGCCCGGCAGAACCAAGCTGGGATGAGCCGAGGCAAGCCAAGCTAGGCTGTGCCGAGCCGGCATGTGCTGGGCTGTGCTGGGCTGTGCTGGGCTAGGATGAGCCTGGCTGGGATGAGCTGAGTCGGGCAGAGTCGGATCGGGCAGAGCCTCGCCGGGATAAGCCGGGCCGAGGAAAGTCGAGCCGGGCCGAGCCGAGCCGAGTCAAGCCAAGCCAAGCCGAGTAAAGCCAAGCCCCACCGGGCCGGGCAGAGCCGGGCCGCCCCCCGGCGATTCCCGGATGTTGGAGCGGCCCCCGCTTGCTCCGTCCTTCGCTTCCATAAAAGGCCAAGGGGCCCGGCAGCGCGGGACGCGTTTTTCCTTTAATTATTATCCCCCTCCTCCTCCTCCTCCTCCCTCCCCTCGCTCCCTCCTCCTCCTCCTCCTCCTCCTCCAGCCGCTCCGCCCGCCCTGCTCCTCCCGCGGCGGCCCCGCAGGCAGCGCTGGGGGCGGCGGGAGCGCTGCACCCCCGTCCCGATCCCGCCCCACCGCGCCCCCAGCCCTCCCCCGGGGCGCGGAGCGGGCACTGCCGGGCCGATCCCGATCGCTGATCCCGCTCCCGCTCCGTGCCGGGCGCGGCCGGCGGCGCAGGAGGCCGGGGCCATGGCGCTGGACGGGATCCGCATGCCGGACGGCTGCTACGCCGACGGGACGTGGGAGCTGAGCGTCCATGTCACCGACCTGGGCCGCGACGTCACCCTGCGGGTCACCGGCGAGATCCACATCGGCGGCGTCATGCTGCGCCTCGTCGAGAAGCTCGGTGAGTGCCCCGGGACCCCCGGCCCTGCGCGGCGCCCTGCCCGGCATCTCCCCCGGCTCCCAGCGCAGTGCTCCAGCTCCCAGCACCCTGCTCCGGTGCCCTGCTCCAGCTCCCAGCACCCTGCTCCAGCTCCCAGCACCCTGCTCCAGCTCCCAGCACCCTGCTCCAGCTCCCAGCACCCTGCTCCAGCTCCCAGCACACTGCTCCAGCTCCCAGCACCCTGCTCCAGCTCCCAGCACCCTGCTCCAGCTCCCAGCACCCTGCTCCGGTGCAGTGCTCCAGCTCCCAGAACCCTGCTCCAGTGCAGGACTCCAGTTCCCAGCACCGTGCCCAGTGCAGGGCTCCAGCTCCCAGCACCCTGCTCTGGCTCCCAACACCCTACTCCAGCTCCCAGAACCCTGCTCCAATACCCTGCTTAAACTCCCAGCACCCTCTCTCAGTACTGTGCTTAAACTCCTAGCACCCTCCCAGTACACTGCCTGAGCACCCAGTGCCCTGTCCTAGTACATTGGTGCAGCACCCTGCCCCAGTACCGTGCTTTGGCTCCCGGTATCCAGCTTTAGCTCCCAGCACGCTGCCCCAGCGTTGTGTTTTAGCTCCCAGCTCCCTGTCCCAGTACAGGGCCTGAGCACCCAGTGCTGTGCTCCAGCTCCCAGCACCCTCTCCCAGTACTGTGTTTTGGCTCCCAGCGCCCTGCCCGAGCTCCCATCACCCTTTCCCAGTAGTGTGCATTATCTCCCAGCACCCTGCTCACGCCCAGGTCCCCACACCCTGCCCTAGCCCCCCATTCCAGCCCCTCTCCCCCTGCACCCTTCCAGGCTCCCCCCCTCTCCCCCTGCTCCTCCTCACCGCCTCGGGCCACAACCAGCCAAACTTTTAACACCCCGGGGGCCTCAGCCCCATCCACCAGCTGCTTAACACCGGGGGATTTTGCACAGAGCTAGGAAACAGCTTCACTTTTGGGGCGGGGGCGGTGGTGGTGGTGGTGGTTATGGGCGCTCTCCGGCTTACAGCGAAAACTTGAACCCCGAAGTTCCGTGCGAGGAAAGCGCTGTGTCCGTGGGGTGATCCGGGGGGGGGGGGGGGGGGGGGGGGGGGGGGGGGGGGGGGGGGGGGGGGGGGGGGGGGGGGGGGGGGGGAATGAGGTGGGCGAGGGGGGGCTTGGGGACACCGCGGTGCACCCCTGGACAAAGGGCCCGCTTGTGCGGGGCTCGTGGGAACGCGGCCGAGGAGCCTCCGGGGCGAAAAGCGGGGAGCCTCCAGAGCCTCCCCCTCCCCTCCCCATCCTCCCCGCCTTGTTCCCTTTATCGGCGCTTTATGGCTCGGGCGTGTTTACCTAGCGGTGGAGCCCGGCGCTGATGGCTGTAATTGCTCAAATAAAATATTAATTGCGAGGTCCCGCGCGTGCCTGCGGCCGTGGGAGTAGCGGAGCTGTCAGCTGCGCCGGCAGGTCCCGCTCCGCTGCTCCTGCGGCTTCTTCCCTCTCCCCCCCCCACCCCCCCCCCATCCTTCCCTCCTCGGTCTCCCCTCCCCTCGTGCTTAGGTTTTGATTTATTAATTATCTGAAGTTGCAGGAAGGAAGAGACGGGTATAAATACGCTCCTTTCGGGAGGAAGCGAGCGCTCGCATCAAAAGAGTCTCGTGCTGGAGTTGCTCTGAACTCCCCGAAAAGTTGATTTTACTTTGTTTGTTTTTTTTTTGCGTTTGTTTTTTGGTTTTCGGTTTTTTTTTTTACTTCAGTGCCGGAGCTGCAGAAAGTTTTACAGGAGCTGAGCGCTCAGGGGTAGAAACAAAACAAAAACAAACAAACAAACCAAACCGGCTTTCTAGAAATGATAAAAAAAAAAATCCACCCATGAATGAACAAGCCATGCTCCCCCTCGGCGTGGAGCCGCCGAAGCGGAGGGAAAGCCAGGCATGTGCGCGGGGCCGGAGCCCAGCGAGGACCTAAATTAGCTCCTGACGTAATGCACCCCCACTCCCCCATCCCCCAAATGTTTGCCCGGATCCTCTCCACTTGTTAAATTAGGGATTGTATTAGAGGGAAGGAATGCAGCGGCCACAGCGCCGGGGGGAGAGAGGGGATGGTGCTCCCCGGGGGGCTCAGCCCCGACGCTCCCTTCCCCGGGATGGTCAGGACCCGTGGATATTCCCTTTCCCCTTGGCTTTTGTCGCCCAGCCAAGCTTTACGTATTTAGTTCCTTTTAATCTCCCTGCGTGTCAGCTCTTCCAGCCCTCTCATTATTTTTATGGCTCCTCTTTGAGCTCCTGCCAGTCTATCGGGGTCGGGCTTGGCGGAGCGGGGTGGGACGGGGACTCGCTCCTCGTCCTCCCGTGCTCCTCAATGCCTTCCTTCATCCAGCCCCTGCCGCTGCCTCGTCTCCACAGAAATTAATTTTGCGATTTTTCCACGTTGAAACCCTTCCCCTGCGTTTTTAACCTGTTCCTCCCCGCCGTTCCTCTGTCCCCGCCGCTGTTTGTTTACTTATTTTAACAACTCCCAGCGTTAAAAAAAAAATACCCCTTGCCAAGTGGATTTTTGCTGTGAGTTTTAAAGGAAATTTCCTAAAAATAAAGCTGCCCTTCAGTTCTAGGTTTCCCTGTGGGATCCCCTGTGAACCTAAACATTGCAGGGGGAGGAGGGAAGGGGGGGAGTCTGTGCCTTGGGCAGGAGTTTGCCTGCTCCATCTCTTAGGACAAATCCTATAGGTTTTGTGCTGCCAGAGGGCAGGGAAAGGAGATTCCTGTGGCCTGCGTGGAGTTTCACTGAAGTTTTGGACATTGCTGGGAATTTGCAGCCAGGGTCTGGTTGTGGAATGATGGTAGAAGCTCTTCAGCCATTAGTGAGCAGCGGGAAAAAATGCCTCCCCTCCTCCCAGCAGCGAGGAGAGCTTGGAAAAAGGAAGAATTTAGGTTTACATCAGTGTTTTCTGATGCTTGTAGGATTGCAGTAAATACCTCCTTTTCCTTGGGGAGGGTTGGGATGACACAGGAACACAGCAAAGTCTCTCCTCCTTAATTGTGAGGCTGCAGGTATCCATAAATCCCATGGACTCAATCCCTGCGGTCGGACTGTTTGGGAATAGGCAATTAAAATCTGTCGCTAATGCAGGCAGGGATTGGAGAAAGCCCAAGCAGCAGATAGGGATTCTGGTTACTCAAGTGAATTGCAATGACCTGTTGGCTCCCCTGTTATTCATCACCCTCTGGATTAAGCCACTTCGTTAATTGAGCCGTGCCAAGTTCTTGGCAAAGTCATCCCTGAAAAATAGGGGGAAAAAACTGCTGAGGTTTCAAGAGCAGTAGCATTTAGTTGCTCCACACGGGTTGGGGTCTGTACTGGAAACTCCTGGTGCTCACCCAGGGTTTTTTAGGAATTCTGCCACTATTGAGTTACAAACAAACAAAAAAAGAATTAAAAAAAGAGGCTTAAAACCACTGGGAGCAGAGGAAGGAAGGAAGTGAACGCAGCTTATTGTTGTTGTCAACTTAAGGCTGTTTTAAACACATGGAAGAAAAAAAAATCCTGCTGTTTCTAAAAGTGCTTGGGAGGAGCTCTGTGGGGTATATGGAATTCTGTGGGATATATGGGTTTGGGGGATGCTCTGTGTGGTCGTGGGAATAAAAGAATGGCTGACAGAAACAGGGCAGGGGGGACAAATGGTGTCTGGCAGAGGAGCAGCTTAAGACAGATGACCTAAATGTGCACTGAGCAGATTCAGAACGTCTGTGGATGGAAGTTTTGTGATGGAAATGTGGATTTCTCTCCAGGATTCTTCTACAGGCAGTGTAGGGGTGGCAGCCAGCTCCAGTTGTGGGGGCTTGCTGGGAGCACTGGGAGAGGACTGAGCATCTTTAGGGGGGTTTGTACCTGAGGAAAAGAGATAAGTGACTGAAAAAAACCCATCTAGGTTTAGAATTAGAGCAGTCCTTCTGACCAAAAGGTGTTTAGGAGGTGCTGCCCTGTGGCATGGTGACAATCCCTATCTTATTGAGGTGGGATGGGCAGGAGGGCTGACGTGGATACAAAGCAAACCCTCTGCCCTGAAAGAGAGTGGCTGATAATGGTAGGCAGTGATGACATCTCCTAAGGCCTTGGGTTTTTTTTGTGAATCACAGCTTGGATAAGGGTTTGGGCAACTGGTTTAACCTCCATTGTTCCCTCCTCCGGTATCTCTTTTCCATCACTTGGGAGAGGGCGGGATGTCACCTGAAGATTGGCACAGGAGTTGTCCCATACGAAGTGTTTTGGTTGCAGCACTTTAAGCTCTTTCTTTCTCTAGCTGTAGTCTGCAAATGTGCCTGGGGTTCACCCCAGGGGCTCTTTTCAGCATCAAATGGACTTTGCTGTGTTATCTTTCAAGGATGTCAGCTCTAGTCCTGGCAAGATCAATTATAAATATGTGTTCTTCTCCCTGTGAAGGCTCCTTTCCTTAATGGACCCCTGAAAGGGTTATGAATAAAACACCAGCAAAGTGCAGCGTCACTGATTTGCCCAGGTTTGTGTTTGAGGTTTTGCAGTGCTTATAAACACTCCAAGCCCTCGTGAGAGTTGCTGGGGAAATTCTTTGCCTTTAAACTGGAATGAACTCCTTGCAACAGCTTAAGGCTATGAGAGAGAAATGCAGAGCCCTTGTCCCAGCTCAGGTCTGTTGTAAACACAAGGCAGGATGAGGCTGCAGGGCTTGTCTTGCAGGTGGCTTGCTCCTTGTGCTTTGGACTTTGCTGGAATGCTGCATCCAGCTCTGGGGTCCTCAGCACAGGAAGGACATGGACCTGTTGGAGCAAGTCCAGAGGGGGCCACAGAGATACTCCGAGGGCTGGAGCCCCTCTGCCCTGAAACCAGGCTGGGAGAGCTGGGGGGGTTCACCTGGAGAAGAGAGAAAAGACCTGAGAGCCCCTTGCAGGGCCTAAAGGGGCTCCAAGAGAACTGGAGAGGGACTGGGGACAAGGGTGTGGAGTGCCAGGATAAGGGGGAATGGCTTCCCACTGCCAGAGGG